AACATGTAGACTCTGCTTTATGAATAAACAAACATATAAACTTTGTTAACATGTAGACTCTGCTTTATGAATAAACAAACATATAAACTTTGTTAACATGTAGACTCTGCTTTATGAATAAACAAACATATAAACTTTGTTAATATATAGACTCTGATTTATGAATAAACAAGCATATAAACTTTGTTAATATATAGACTCTGCTTTATGAATAAACAAGCATATAAACTTTGTTAATATATAGACTCTGCTTTATGAATAAACAAGCTCTCTTCCATATAAACTTTGTTAATATGTAGACTCTGCTTTATGAATAAACAAGCTCTCTTCCATGTAAACTTTGTTAACATGTAGACTCTGCTTTATGAATAAACAAGCATATAAACTTTGTTAATATATAGACTCTGCTTTATGAATAAACAAGCTCTCTTCCATATAAACTTTGTTAACATGTAGACTCTGCTTTATGAATAAACAAGCTCTCTTCCATGTACACTTTGTTCATCATTGGATGGATGGGCTATGATATGCTAGAACAGGGATTTCTTGTCATTTTTGAAGTTTATTTGGAAGAATTTGTAGATCTTTTTGTTATTTCTTGGTTTGTAAAATCATTAGATATGTTAATAGAAGATTTTGTAAAATTTTACACAAAAACAGTTTTTAACTATTTTTTCACAAAAAAAGGAAAACATTACAAATAAAAGTAATACAACTAAAAATAATGGTTAACTTCAGAGGACTGACTCTTGATGTAATGAATTTGTGTTTGAATATTCTGTGTGTGTATTTTCTTAAGTTTTTCTAAATCTCAATTTGAGTTATTGACATCGATAAAAAAAATAGGTAAGTTCCAAATAAAATTTTATGTTTAAATAAATAATTTTGAAATATTTAAAAATAGAAACATACTTCCCAATATCCACTTACTATTATAGCTGAAATTAAACAAAATACCATCTTCAATGAACAAAATGACATAAAAACAACTATTTTGCTTGTACATTTAATTCAAGCAGTCATTAACAAATGGTAATTGATTCACAATATGTACGTTTTTGTTTCTTTTTATTTCAATTGTGAATTGTCATCACAGGAAATAGTAAAAACATTACCATAGACATTAAGACAGTCTTCTGGTAAAAAACATTATTGGTTGATTCATTATTTAATTTCTGTAGTGCATATTGGTGTATAAAACATTTTAGTTCCAGTATGAAATGACCTTATAACACTAAGTTTGGCTTTACAACTTCTTTAGGAGAGTTTCACTTAAACACAAACTGTAACTAACAATTATTGACTGTAATAAAATCTAATAGACTGAATATGGTCTCTTCAATATCATGGTTCATACACTTTCGGCAATTCAAATTTCCACGACTTTCCCAAAACTTTCTATAGCCCTCAAAACTGATTTTTCCAGATCAAATATAACATGAAATAAATCATATAACTATATACATTATGTGAAAGTATATACATGTATGACTGATAGGACATAGATTAACAATTCTTTGACTTTACCACCATCTTTGTCATTTTTTCATGCAAAATATTTAATTCTAAAGACTTTTCTTTCACCATTTTTCTGGCTTTGTCAGTAGCCTCTATTAAGGATGATACATCTTTTTCAAATATTTGGTGTTTAGCCTTAAGTTTTGCAATATCTTCAAGGATAAGTTTCCTTTTCCACATCTTTTCATTCAGTTCAGCCATCTCCCTCTGTTGATCAAGGTATTGGTTTTGAGTAACAGTAAGCAGTTTGTTCGAAAAAGGAACTTCCAGAATATCTCCAACTGACTGCACCCAGTCACAGATTAACTGCTGACCATCAAGGAAGAAATCCTTCATGTTTTGAAGCATTAACCCTTCATTCACAAAAATGCCCCTTTCAACAGTTGCTTGGCCATGAGAAAGTATCAAGACGAGCTTGAAATGGCATATGGACTTGTAATCTGTAGCTTGATCCATGTGTTTGATCAAAAAGCAGCCAAGCCTATCGGTTTTGAAGATGTAGGAATTTGGCTTCACAACTCGAGATAAAAACAAGACATACTGTCTGATTAAGCAATCACATTCTTCTGCTTTGAGATGTTTCAAACAGACAAGAGTGGACAGTACATGCTGAAAACAAGCCTTCTTACGATTCCTCACATCTGAGACTATTTTTAGAGGAAAAAAAACAGATGACATTACAAGTAAACTAGTTTTTCAATAGACACTTTACAAACAATTTCTCAATGAAACAGATCAAAACTAATACTCATTGTAAAATGTAAGCTGGTCTCTTGGAGTTGCTTTCTCTGTAATAATCAATGCTTTCATATTTTCTGTTGCACAAAAACTGATATCGACATGTTTAACCGATTTGATATTTCCTGTATTACTTAAATGAAATTTTGACAATTTAAGTGCATTGTCTGCTTTGGATAGCACATAGTGTTTTACAACCCTTCTCAGAAGGTTTCTAATCACAGACTCAAGATCACAGCTGACAAAAGGCTGTACAAGGTGGTCAGTTTGATATTTCATAAGAAATAGAGAATTCTTCAGATATCGAAACATAAAATAATAACTTTGCTATGAAAAGGATATCATTTGTTGCAGATTTCAGAAAATTTAATGCTTGAATTTTTGGTACTGTGCAAGAGTATAATTTGGCTTCAACTGTTTTGATGTATGTTTGGAAATTCAGAATAATTTTAATTGCCCCTTTGTGGAACAGATGCATTTTCTACCCATCGGGTGGAACAAAATTTCAATGCATACATACAAGACCCATAATTTTCTCAAAGTATTCACATTTGGCTGGAGAATCTTTGAAAAGGTGGTACGTTGATTTAAGTATTGCTTCTACATCACAATCAGAGGCATTGAGAGCAGTACGAAGAGCCCCATGGACCATGTGGAGGCCACTTGACCTAATGTTGATTAAAGATGGGTCAGAATTTCTAATTTCTTATGGAATGACCAGTTAACGTTGGACCATCCATCCCTACTTGCAAAAGATTAAGCTCTTTTTGTCAGATGTAAGAAATGGCTTAAGAAATCATTAGCCCGTGTGTAGCCAAGAAATGCAGAATCAATAGACCTAATCCTTAACAAAAAAATTTTCCAAGTCAAAGTACCTGAAGGTACACATCAAGTTTTTTACCATTTAAGGATTCATCGTACAAGAGCACAAAGTGTGTGTATTTTCCAAGCTTTTGATACATATTTGACTTGATTTATGAAGCCAATCCAAAAACAAGACACATATGCAAATTTTTTCTATCCATAAGAGAAC